CCTGTGGAGACACGGGAACTTCTGTGCCATCTTTTTCACTTGACTAGAATTGCTTGATGTGCTGATTTTTGTCTCCCGTTCCATCTGTTTCGTGGTCTGTGCCCAGATATTTAACAGATATTTAAAAAAAAAGTCAGGTATGTCCTCCTACTTTTTCCACAAATACTCAGTCTGGAATTTAACCATCTTGATATCAGTCTTTAGCATTCCAGCACATCAGTGTTTTGCTGGGGGGCAGAAGAGCATATCCCTGAAGGTTTCTGGAATCAGTCAGTCCTCCTCTTTGCCTTCTGTTCCAATCAGCTGGTTTGGATTTGAAACTTATTCAGAACCAGTTAATTATTTGTCATCCAGCTTTTTTGTTTGGTTAGGGGTTTTTTTGTTTTGGTTTGGTTTTTTAAACTGCTTAAGGAACTTGCGGTTTATCTTAATTAACCTGGAAAAATTTCAGATTTTGGACTTGGGTCAGAAAAATTAAACTGATGTGAATGTGTTCGTATGTGGCACAGCTGCCTCATCCAGCTCTGTGTAAGTGCATATATTTTTTAATGGAAGTTGTATAGTTTCCATTACCTTATACCTGAAGAAAGTATTTTCTGGTAACTTATTTATCGCTTCAATGGACAGTTACTAAAAATCCTGTGTGTGTTTTAAACCATTCTCAGCTCACATTGATGTAGTTTGGTTTGTTGTTTAATGAGTTTTAAATTCATTAATCAGAATAACAATGCTTCTTGGTTCCTGTTTTCAACGATGCAGTCTTCATCTGTGTACTAATAATTTTGAAATATTTGTCTTAGGGTTTTATAATGGGAAAGAATTGCAAGCATACGTCTCCCTCAATCTGCTAAGACTGCCCAAATAAATTTCTAAACAGCACTGAATGGGCCCATGTGTATAGACAGAATTCCTGGATGTGTAAGTGACCAAAAACAGAAGTATAGGATTATTAGTCAGCTTTGTTTCTACTGCATAAAATACTTCCAGCCCTGTTGGAGGTTTTGAAGACAAGGCTCATCAATTTTTTTGTACTTTCCAATTTAGAGACCCCCGAGGTTCAAGCAAGAGCTGTTAGGAGTGTTAATTTTTGAGAGAATTGTCAGATATCACGCATTTCAGTGAGTGATGTTTGCAGCCATAGTCAGACGCGTGCTTTAGTCATAACTTCAGTAGTTATGCTCTTAGTTTTCTGCATGTATAATATGAATTTATTGTCCAGATATAACAGAAAAAGTAAATTATGTCTGCAGAATCTGATATGGCCCAGGGTTACTCTTACAGAAGTATGTCACTGTATAGGAATGTAGAAATCTGCATGAGTACCCATGCCCCCCTGCCTGAAGTTGTTGCTCATCTTACTCTCTGGCCGAGGAATCCTAGTGACAGACCGGGACCCTGTTGTGTAAGGTGGTGTGTGCACACACATGCATACCCCTGTATCAGTCCCATCCTTGTGGATTTTAAATTTCAGCAATGAAAATACGGTCACAGATAACAATTGGGAGTGCAGAGAGACAGAGACAACATTGCTCAGAATGGATACTGATATCTGTATTCTGGTAGCTTATTACTTGTCAGGTTTCTGGAGCTCTTCTGGGAAAGTACTGTCTTGTTTTCCGTGGATGATGGGAAGATAAGGCTGGTGGGCATCTCTCCCTAGAATTTGTCTCTAACCAGTGTAACACGAGGTCCATGAATAATTCACATTTCCTGGTCGTTAGCGTTCACTGAAAACGAGTGTCCATGGTAATATAGTTAAACTTACAGTTAACCTTGTAGAGAACAAGTCATTGTTACCATTTTCTCATACCTTTGGGGGGTGGGGGGACGACTGCCTTTTACAGACTCATTCAGAAAGTTTTTGTATGTTCTGAAATAGGATGATAGTATTTCTTTCAATTTACCATCACACATGTGAAATGGCTGACTGTCAACAGCTGTCCTGCATGTTGTTTGATATGAGCAATAGCATAGATCCATGAAGAAGCTGGGGAGTGGAAGTAAGGAGAAGGACCTGCCAAAAAAATTGGTTGAATAATGATGAAATCACGAGAGAGTGGAAAATTAGATGATGTCTGTTTTTTGTGAAGAACAGCTGGGGTTTGTCTCCATATTTAAAAAGCCAGTCAGTATGCAAACACCTTCGATAATGCTAATGCTGCAGCAACCTGCAAAGTCTTTGAGTTGAGAGGAATATTCTGAGGAAAAAAAAAAAAAAAAGAAGTAGCAAGAATTTCTACTTATCACAACGGTGCTGCTGTGTTCAGAGCACTTTTTGTCTCTGGAGTAGGACATATGATTTATTTTAGCATATCTTTGAAAGATAAGAGTTTGCTACATGCTTTTTTTTAAAAAAAAAAAAAGGAAGGAAGAAGCAAAAAGGATAAATAATGTAGGACAGAAAACTACTATCGCCACTTTTTAAAAATACATTTGCCTCCCCACCTTCACCAGCGGTAAAAGGCTTGTAAGTTCAAAGACACCTTTATCTTCCTTTTTAGTGGGTTGTTTTGGGATTAGGCGATTCTGTGGTTGAAATGGAACACACCACCCTGACCACTGGGTCTGTTGTAACTCATCGCTTTCATCCTTAACCCTGTAAGTCCATTTCACTTGTTTTAAAAATGACTACGTGAGTGTCTGCATCAAAGTCAAAACTGTATATGAAAGCACTACGTGTCACCTCAACCAAATGAGGTAAAGTAGGAAGTCAAACTCCCTGTCTAGTATGACAGATAATACCAGCTTCCAAGACTCTAAAACCTGTCATTCCTGTTTTCCCACTGAGAAGAATCATTGTCCAATTATCAGCTGTATTGTTTTTTTCATCTTTTTAATTTAAAGCTCTACCAGGCATCGTTAGTGGGGGAGGAAAATGACAAAATGGAGCAGGGTACATCACACTGATGCTGGAGAAATGACACCTTTGTTCATTCTCATCTTTTGAACAACCTTGTGTAGCATTATTCTGGAAAATCCTCCTCTCTAGGCACATAGCAAATATCGATGCCTGTCCTGCCTGCCTTCCTGGCTCCCTGACAGCTGAGCTTTGAGGGGACAATGGCACTTTGGAACTGGAGCACAGGCCAGCCAAATGCAGAAGCTCTGTGTAATATACAGAAAATATGGAAGTTAAGAGTTCCTGAGACATTAATATGAGGTCAGCCATGTGCAGTTTTACGGTAGAAATAGGGCGAAGTGATTTCTCAAACTGGCTACTGATACATTTCAATATCCAGGTATATTGCTGGGCTCTTTATAGTATTTTGTTTTCGAAATAAGTTGCAGGTCAAAGGGGCAGTCACGCACTAGAAGCTGCTGGGTGGATCTGTATGCAGTTGTATTGCCCTGGAAATGCAATAGATATTTGGATGGGCCCTGAGTCAGCCATTCTCAGAACGTTTTGACTCCAGTTAGTTTTCTTCAGTGTTTTGAAGAATATGAATTTCTTACCTGAGACTAAGAATGGGAAAAGTTAATCCAAAATGTATTTGGCCCCAAAACTGGGAACAACGAAATGAAGAGTGGAATTGGATGGCAGAATTTAACTTGTCAAACAAATGGTGCTGGATTCTTTTAGTAATAACATGTAACTGTCTCTTGTTTGTAATGACTGTTTTAAGTAGGATTGTTTGACAGAACTAGACACTTCTTTCTTTTATCTTTGTGATGTTCAGTAGTATGATGAGGGGAAGGTGATTCTTGGAATTAAAATTTCACTTCTGTGATACCAGTTCTTAGGATAATTGGAATTTCATTGTTAAATTCCAAAGAAACCTCACGTTGCAGCAGGTGGTTTGTCCCTTAACAGCAAATTAGTTTGTCTTATCCAGGTATTCATTGCCCCTGAAAGAAATGAAATCTTTCTTAATGTGAATCAGCTTTGCTAAGAAATCATGCATATCACTGAGCAAAATAAGATGAATAAAACCAGTTTATTCTGCGAAAATATGTCCTGTGCAAGTTGTGAAGTCTTTCAAGCAAAAGACATACTGCAGAAGATGCCTTATTCGTACTAGCTGAACAAGGCTTAAAGTTTCACAGGTCCTACAAGCTGTGAAAAACCTACCCAGAAAGTGCTCTGATGTCAGGATCTGGTAACCTCACATTCACCTGATTAGGTAGAAGTTGTGTGGAGGCACTGAACAAGCCTAATAAGTGAAATGGCTATGGATCTGATCCACTGAGTTTCTGTGTCCTTCACAGCCAAAATTTGTGTCCTTTTACAGTCAGGACTTGCAAGTATGTCTTAGGATTCCTAACTTGTAGCTGAGGACTCCACAGATGAAGCTGGTCTTGCTAAGTGTTCCTTAAGCTTCATGGTCTTTCTCTTATTATTTCTAGCCAATTTTAGCTGTTTAAGTCACCCAGAGACAGTTTCTCATCTTGGTTATGCCCAGAGTGTGCTGGCGAGTGCGTGAATTGTCTCTTCTTTCCCTCCTCAGGGATGTCACGTGCGGTGGCGAGCACTCTCCCTCTCCACTGTGTTATCATCCAGGCAGGGCCTGGATGTAACGTACAAAGCAGCAGAAAGAATTCAGAGTGAGGTGCCAGAACTGTACCCCACTGCCTGATTTAGGTGACATTGGCATTTGTCGTATGCAATCTGGCCACAGGTCAAGTAACTACATATCAATTTAGAGTTTAGACAAATACAGTGCAGTTCATTTCACTCGCATCTCATTTTAATGAGCATTTGCCCCTAGTGTTTCATTAAAGAGGAAAGAAAACCTGCCTTTCATGTGATTTCCTAGCTAATTGCTGATTATAGATGAATTACATAATATGATTACAAAACATGTCTCTAATCTCAGTCTTTTTTACAAAAATAGACTTTGATATGAAAAAGGATTTTCAGTCCTTGGTAGATGCTGTGTGTTGTAATACTGCATGGATGGCTTAGCTTACTTTAAAAAAAAAAAGAAAGAGAGAGAAAAATAAGAAAATTAAGTTCTGCATTCCTAACTTACAAATACTCTGCTTTCTGTCCTCCTGTTCAGGAACCCTGGGATGCACAACACATTCCAGCGCTATTCTCTGCTTTCTGTGGTCTGCTAGTTGCACTTTCTTATCACCTCAGCAGACAAAGCAGTGACCCATCTGTACTGATGTAAGTTGCCTGCAAATGTTATTTATTGATTACTCTGTACAGCACACAACCAGAATGATGCCTGGGTTTCAGAACCCCAGGGACTGTCTCCTGAAAGTACTGTGGTGAGGTGGAAATTCCTCGTCATGTCTGCCTGGTTGGTATCCACCCTGTAAATAAATGAAGTGCTGCAGTCAGATTGCCAGTAAGGCTGGTGCTCTTTAAACAGCACTATCCAAATTCTCTGAAGCAGATTTCACCCTCTGGGAAATTGTGTGCTTGCCATGTTGGAGGATAGCGATTTAGTTGAGGGGGCTCTCAGCCCACTGGAGTTGCAGAATGTGCATTGGGTAGCACCGTGGCAAGGAGAAAGGGCATTTGATGTGCTGGGAAGATGGCTCAATTCCAGCTCTTGCTGGGGGTCACTGTCAGTAGGCTCTGCCTCTCTGTTTGAGATTAACTCCTTCCTTTTCTGCTCTGACATAGTCTGCTAAAGGTAGCTGAAGAAAGGTAGTGTGTATTAAGAGCTGCCATTGAGAACAAGGAAGATCCAGGGGAGAAGTCCCCAGCGTTGTTATCTACAGGTTGAGGTGGTGTGAGAGAGGGCTGTAGATCCATAGCTCAGGGGGAGCAGACATGAGTATTCCTGTGTGGGAACTGTGCTATATGGCTGTCATGGGGGCTGTGGTGGTCCACAAGCAGCTGGGCATCTACGTATATGGCTGTGGGATTAAACAAGCAAATGGGTTTTGTGCAGCCAGTATCACCATGCCATCTGGGATTCTGCTTCGCAGACAGCTCAGTCTTATCCTAGAACAGTGCAGAGGGCCTGTGAGAAAACCCACAGGTTCTCTCCTTTGATTCATGAGGTGTGTTGTGCGTGTCTTGAGGTGAGGCTCTTTAGCATATGAAGATAGGCATAGGCATATGGTAAGTCAGAGTGGTTGGATGCACAATTCTGTAATGCAGGAGAGAGAGAGGGGGGAAGTGGAGGGCTTTTTAGGCCATTCAAGATTGTTTGAGGAGAGAAACTTGGGAAAAGGAGAAGAATTCGGATGAGGAAGGAAAGGATATAGGGCACTAGTAGAAAATTGGTATCCCAGTAAATCTTACTGAAGAGTTGAGAAATTCCTTCTTTACCATTCAGAAGATTCAAGGAATCTGATATTTAGACATTACGAGGTTCTGATGTGGCAAAGCAACAAGAACTGCTTATATCTATTGCCATTAACCTTACCCAAAGCCTACTGTGTCTGGCACTGATGTCAGTTAGACCTGGATCAAGCTTTGTGTAGGTAGTGTGTAGTTCATCGGCCATTACAGTATGGAACTCAGGTATGGAAAGAAGTGAAGCTGTGTGCTGTATTAGGGAGACTTGTTTAGCCTTGGAGTAAAATATATGCAGGTAAATTGCAAATCAGCATGGAAGTGTGAGCTCTTTCAATTCTGAAGTAATTTAAATGTATTCTTCTCTTCCATTCCCCAGGAAGGACACAGCAGTTCATTAATTTCTTTAATAAAACAGAAACTCGTCTTTCCTTAAAACTTCTGTTTTAAGGAAGTAATCTTAAACCATTAAATCCATTTTAACTTTTAAATCTAGCTACTGATTTCTTAACATTCTTAATCAAATCTTCAGCAGCTGAAATGGTTGTTAAATATCTTAAGATTAAGAATGTGTACGACATCAAATGTTTATTGTGCAATCATGATAAAAATGTATAAACCTTAAAAAAAGAGGTTTAAGATTTTTTTTTTTTAAGACAGCTCTGAACTTAATTAAAGGAAGTTAAGGAGATTGGAAATAGTATTTAAGGGATGGCCTGTGGCCTAAACTTCAAGATGGAGGAGGAGGTAGCACATAAATCTTGAACTGAGGATTAATATACAGTTTATACAGAAATAGCTTCTTTGGCCCTTCTAATGTGGGTCTAAACAGCTCCCATATTGGTTTTAGCTTAGCTGAAACGTTAATAAAGGGCATGAATGGAATAGTTCTGCTTATTCCTCTAAATGACTGAGTCACATTGATTAGACTGCTGAGACTCCTTAACATTTTGATGATCACAGGTAGAGCTGGTTTGTGTCAATCTCCAGTTATACAGAGATAAGATAGCTACTGCATACATGAGGAAGGAAATCTGAGGCTGTTCCTCCTCCTCTACGCCCCAGGAGTATTCAAATCTGTTAGACATGTTCAGAAGTATCCTAACTAGGATTTTTTTTTTAACAGGTCCCTGATTCAATGCAAATATGTCCCTCACTTTCTGCGTCAACAATTTGAAGATTCATCAGCAGATCCACTCCCAGAAAAGATGAGAGAATCAGTGGTGAGACCTTTTCTTCCATTACTTTCTGTTCAAAGCTCTCTCCCATCCATTTTCCCCACTGAGGAACCTTTTAAATATTCTCATTTAGTAATTTAAGTATTTAAATTGGGGATTGTCAAAATACTTAAATTTAAGTATCTAAATTACTAAAAGCACAGCAAATGGGAGGATCTCTATCCTGTTCCTTTAAATCCACAGATGGAAACTGAGAGAAGTTCTTCTAGATCTTCTTTCCACTGAGGCCGGAAGGGAGAAGGGGGATATTGCAATTTTCCTTTCTGAAGGGTTCCTTTGAAGGACTCAGCAACACTGATTCCTTAATATAGTTGATGGGAAATGCACTCTTAGAGCTTGGGGAATAAGGCATCTCGTTCTGGTACTCAGGGAGCTAATGCAGGTTCTGTGCATAGAGTTACAGCGTGGCAAGCTGGTGTGTACAAGGTAGGCTGGATTGTTCAACAAGCGTTAAAAAAAGGTGAGCAGTCCTGCCAAACTCCCTGTCTACGTTGGAGGGGAACAGAATTTGGTCCACAGAATTAAGTGTGTTTAAAATGGCCCTTATTCATTCTTTTTCCAGGGCTAGGAGTTGACCTGGTTTTCAGGAATG